GGTGTGCCACGCAAGGTGAGCTGGCTCGGAGCCGCCGAGCTGTTTCACTCTATGTAAGAAGTTTTGCTAAATACTTCAGGCAGTAAGCTGAGGGCGGCTGTCGCTTATTTACTGGTTTAAAGATGCAGTTTTGGAGACCCTGAGAGACAAGCGACTGCTTTCACTCACTAGCTGGAGCCCCACGCTCAGTGGTGGGATTCAAAGGTCATCCATCCCCTAAGGAGCACTGTACGTGCCCCTGGCTGCTTCCCTTGGCTCCAGCTTGCTGTACGTGCCATCAGCATGAGTAAGTGATGGTGTAAGAGACTACGGAGCTCTTTGGTGAAGCTGGGGCACAGGAGCTTTGAAATAAACAAGTTAATCTGAGCGCTCTCTTATTCTTTCTGAAGTGACTTACGGACTGTTTTCTGGCTGTCTTTGACTCTTAACAATGCCTAGTCAAATAGTCAGCGGGCTGTTAGCTGGGGAAGAGCATAGCAAGAAGTTTAATCTTGACAAATCACTTCTGGAGGGAGCTGGACTTCATGGTTCCTGCGTGTTTTATTATAAAGCCATGTTTTATGTATCTGTCTCTTACGCAGGTTCTAATGGAACCAGCTGTAGGGGGCAGAAGGTCAAAATTAGTCTGGAGATCCAGAGATCAGGTGTGCTGCCTGCTAAGCCAGGCTTGTGCCCTAACTCCAGTGCTGTACTTGCTGTTGCAGGACAAGGCTGTTCTCGGAGCTGCCCGAGAAGGGATCAGTCAGCTTTGCACCTGTGAGGGTTAGAGCTGGCGTTATTCCACCCCAATAAACTTTCCTTCAGCCTGAATGTTAGATCCATAGACATGTGCAAGTCTTTGAAGTGTAAAACTGAAGCATAGACAGATAGTCTTTTCCCTTTTCCATTTCTGTTTTCATTGAAATGAAAAGGTGACAATGATAACAGCAGAAAAAAAAAATGAGGAGGAGGAGGAGAACTACCTCAAGATCCATAAAGAATGAAAATAAAGAAAAAAAAAAAAAAGGAATCGGTATTATGGCTTAGTTTGTTCCAAATGATTTGCTGGACTCGTTGGGTGTTTTGAAAATAAATTCTTGCTTTTACGTATTTCTGTAGGATTTGGTCTGTGGAGAAGACAAAGACACGGAGCCAGTGCCGTGGAAGAGTTTGGAGGGGCAGAGGTGGGGTGCAGAAGACGGGAAACCGCTGTCCGGATCCGTGCTCAGGTCGGCACTGCCGGCAGGACGGCTGCGGGGGGAAGGGGAATGAACGGCACCTGTCACTTACCTGCGCACGGGAGGTTAAGGCACTGACCAGAAGTAGACTCCTCCAACTCGTGTCTGCCTTCTCTCCTTACCCCTCCCAATGCACTCGGCTTTCAGCACCGCAAGGCAATTCTCGCTAACGAGATACAGAAGGGTGCAAGTCATCCTGCCGCCTCCTTTGCCGTAGTTATCTGTTCTCGGAGCGGGAGATGCCGCTTTGATTAAAGTGCCAAATGATTCTTGCTCACATTACAATGAAATGTGACCACTGCTCACCATGGAACGGGACGTTTTTGTCACCTCTCCCCTCTCGTCTCTAATAGCAATATCTATCTGCTGCGTACCAGATAATGCGACTGTCTATTCACATTGCAGTCACAGCGCGGTGACTTGTGCTTGACAGACCTCATTATGTCACAGGATCACCCAGCCTAAAATTTACATAGGCTTGGATTAAAAACCATTAGGCAGAAGTCTTCCGCTCCCTGTGGTTTCAGGTAGACAAACCCCTCTACTTATGTGTCTCTATTTTTTAAAATATAATCTAATACCAGAAAATTGCAGAAACGTAACGAAATCCAACCAACGTAATCAGAGTTGTCAAAGGCTGTGATTGGAAATCATAACCTGGATTTCCACAAAGCAGATGAGTCACAGCTGGTCTGAAAACAGTGTCTCTGTGGTTTTAGACCTTTAGAGCCAATATTCTTTCTCCTTGTGAAATTTCATTATCCCTGAAGTGATGCTCTCCTGTTTTTAAAGCCTGCATTAGTAACCGAATACTGGCACAGCCACTGACAAAATGAACATGCACCTAATGCAAATCCATAACAGATATTCACGTAGTTGGATTTCTTCTCAACTCTCGCCTCACAAAGTTGTTACTCTCCTCCTGTATGGAAAGACATTGTGCCGGAGACTTGCAGAGTCCTCTGGGCATAGTCTCCAGAGGGTCCATCCCAAGAAGAGAGGCAATCTGTGCCCAATGAGCAAACTGCGGGTACGTTTGTCCTTGCAAAAACTGAAGCATATGGTAAACAATGGGTGCCTAATTAGAGCCACTCAGGGAGACTTTCGTTATGTGATCCAGGTGTCTGAGATGACACTCCAGCAGATAACAAAAAGCTGTTCTCCATCACCTGCTGCTTCCAGTATTACCCAACTTAACCTTGGGATGAGAAGCCGACCCATCCCTGGCAAGTTCTGGACTCTTTTGGACTGCGGTCTCCATCAGGTCAGGGCTTGCCTTCTGCCTGGATGCTCTTTCAAACTGGGTTCTGTCCCTTCACACCCCTGTGATTTGCTTTGTTGTAGAGGTGATCATTTCTATAGAACAAACAGAAAAGGGCTGGTGGTTTTTTGCTTTTTAAAAAAAATACGTAGAACTAGATCTGTCACTCACCGAAGAAATATTCCTATTGGCTTAAAATCTGACTCCTTGCTTCCAGAAAGAGCTGGAGGCTGCAGGGAAAGAAAACTGATCCGTTACTGCCTGCTAGCTAGCCTTTGTCTGAAAGGGGGCACTGAATTTAGATTTGTTTTCCCAAACTGTTTTATGGGGCCACGTACAAATTCTGCAAAATTAAGCTTATCTTAAATATGTATCAGCATCCTAATTCCATGTATGTTCTTATAGTACAGTCCTGCTGGAGGGATTTCCCTTAACTGCATTTGCAATGCTTTTTTCCTTAAAACTTCAAACTGCCCTCTGCCTGTGTGCCAGCCTATCACTGAGGAAGACCAGGGAAAGGATTATCATGTAGAAAATGTCTCGTGGGTTGTACCTGTAAACGCTCTTTGTCTGTATTTGCAGGGATATTGCGGAAAACAGAACTGGGTGGAGAGAGACTGCAAAAATGAGACTGGTTTTAACCATGGTGAACAAATGGCTTAAGACAGGTCTGTAGATCAACTCATTTAGATGGCGAAACCAGACAAGTGTTGTGGCACAAAAGCTTGCCTTCGGGGATGGGACTGAGTCAGACTTCAAGGTAAGTAAAGGTTTGGAACAGCTGCCCTGAAATACTCATTTTCCGAGGTAATATGAGACAGAAGCAAGGCTGACACCTGAGGGACGGAGGAGGGTGTTGGCGAACGCGAGGCGGTGGGGCCGTTCCCTGTGGGACAGGCACAGGCGGGCAGCAATCACTCGGAGACGGTGACTGCTGGCGGCATCTGCTGTAGAAAGCCGCACGGGACTGACTCTGTAATTTTTCATATCCACCGTAGTTATAAATTTGTGTTCTTCCAAAGTATTTTGGAGGTCTCCCGAGAACGCCAAGTGAGAAGCGGGCAGCGGCGCGGCGGTTATTTGGGAGGGGTTTGCCCGTGGGTGAGCAGGAGCTCCTGCCCTTGGCCGCTGGCCGCGGGACCACGTTGGCTGTTGGCTCTGACAAAGGTTTGATGGCGATTTCTGATGCTGTGGATGACCGATGGTACCCGCTAAAGTTGTGCGTGTAGGACCCAGGGCTTTGCTGGCAGTGGGGCTCACTCTGGCTGCAGGTACGTTGGCAAGGCCGTGTCAGGGCGGGTGGCGGTCAGCAGCCCCGAGCCCACCTGCAGCACGTGGGGATGTCGCAGCTGCATGGTTTTCCCTGGGCTCAAAGGAAGGGGAATCTGTCTCTGATAAACAACTTCTAAAATTCCTATTGAGAAAGGTGTTTCAGCCTTTGTTTCATTCCACTGGCCACAGTCCATTGTGATTTGTTCCACAAGTTTGCTGGGACCCTGCTGTCCCTCAGGAGCTGGGAGCGAAGCCGGCTGCTCGCAGCAGAAACGGCCAATATGTGGTTTAAGGTTTTCTTGATTTCAGCTGTCTCCGAGGGTGCTGAAAGCACTCAGTGAACTCGTATGTCGTCCTTTAAGGTTGTCAGCACCTCTGTGTCAGGACAGTCCCGTTAATGACACCAGATTGGGGAAGTGTATAAACAAGAATTTCTGTTCCTGATGGTTAATTGTTTTCCAGTTGCAGCAGTTTTCAGTCATCTTTTTCTGTGTCAGAGGAGCCACATATCTCTCCTCCTTCTAGGGAACCAGCAGAACTGCTTAATTATTCCGTTGCTGTGCAGATATTAAAGGGATGCAGCTGGGTAGGTATTTTGTACTTTTGGGAATTTGTGCACCGATGACATTTTCTGCATGGGCGATTTTGGAAAAGTTCTCTTTCCGTACTCAGGTTTACGAGATAGGCAAAACCTTGATGTTCTGCCAAAGAACCGATTAGAATGCCTCGATCTGAAATACTTCCAAGGAAAATGTAAATATACAGAAACACTAGTGTTTATCAAAGGTGTCTTCACGTCCGCAGCATACAGGCACAAACCTGGGGGGATGAAGCCGCTTTCCTAGGGAAGAGGCCGGCGTGGTGGGAGCCGCTGGGCAGTGACGGTCCCTGGCTGCCAGGGCTGTTCTGAACCTCAGCGCTGACCCACATGTGGCAGAACTCCGCCCCTCCCCTTCCGATGGCCGAATGGACCTTTTGAATAGAAAATTGTGGGATGCCTTCACCAAACGAGCTGGAAGAGGAAGGGTCTTTGCTCTGTTTCATTTTTGGCTCCGGTTCCTTGACGCTCTGCGTGAGCAGAAGTAACTGGTGCGTTGTACAAGGGCTGCCCGGCAAGGGGAAGGAGAGATGAAGTGTCTCTGCAGGAGGCACGTCGTCTGCAGGCCGCCTGCGCAGGGGCGTGCTCACATCAAGTACCTGTGTGGCACCTCTGCCTCGTACATCTCCCAACCAGGGTTTGTCCCTTCCAGGCAAATACAGCCCGCGATGTTCCTGCTGACAGAACAATTTCAGACCCATCTGTTCAAGCAGCAAGAGACCTTCCTTACAAGTTTGTAAGTCAGCAAGAATTACTTTTAAGCTTTGCTCTTTTCCCTTTCCTTTCCTTGCCCATTGGGGTGCATAGGTATATATTTTGTTTAAACTTCTATTTTTTTTCTAACCTATCCCCCAGACTGCTCTTTTGTGCTCTTCCATCTCATAAACTGAATATCTATTCTGCCTGTCACCTCCTTTTGCTGTTCTATTTTTTTTTTTTTTTTTCAGAAGGATTTGATTTAATATTTTGTCTGAAGGTTTGTGTATCTGCATTTCGGTAATTCCTGTTTTGTCTTTCTGCAGGATTTCTGTCTGAGCTTTCCAATAGCTCTTCATGAAATATCATTAGTCTGGACTTGGTTTTTTGGCTACTTTACCTAATCATTCCATCGTGGGATTGAAGCACACTTATTGAGGCATTAGGGTGGGAGGAACTTTGGTTATTGTTTATGGTTCACCTGTTCTTTGGAGAAAACACTTCCATCTCCAGCACCATCAGACTTTTATAAGCACTAAATGTGTTAATGGGAGTGAGGAAAGAAATTGTGTTTGTGCCAACAGTAGGAACAAAATATGTAATTTCTCCATGAGTCTCTCGGTTAGCTCATGTAAACAACATGATTAAATTTGTCTGTGTGCATTGTGCTATATAAATAATAATGATAATTAAAAAAACCCCGTGCAAGGTCCAAAGATAACAAGATTGTGTTCGGGAAGAGCTGGGAGGAGGATGCAGTGTTGAAGCAAGGAAAGACAGACTCAATTCATTAGTGCTGGAGACAGCCTGGACATGGGTGACTGGTGCTGCCATTTAGGGGCTGGAAGATGAATGTGAGCCCAAAGCTGAACCACCCGCCCCCCTCGGTCTCTAGTGCTCCGTGTCCAGGAAACGTCGTGTCACAGAGGACTAAAAGCTTTATCTGTACGGACACTCCTCACACAGCAAAGCAATTTTAAAGAAGTGGGAGACTGAACGAGAAGCAGACTTCAATTTCGACATGTCACTAAAAATGCTTCTCGGAGCTGGTGCTCCCAGTGCTGTGCTCCACGGCGAGAGGAGTGCTCACCTAATCCATTGTCTTAACCCTCTAAATGAGACCGGGAAGGGAGTCTGGGGTTATGAGATTTCTGTGTGGAACAAAGATTTTTGGCTGCTCTTTAGGAGTCTCTGTAAGACACGTTATATAAAGTTTGAGTAGCTCTGATAACGTGTCAGCAGTGATTTAGGCTACTGTGAAGTGGTTGTCATATATTTCTGTGCGCTCTGCTAAAGGCAGAATTCTCCCGATATTGCCCGGGACCTTGCAGGAGGAGCAGAATATTCCCTGGCTCTCCCAGGCAGGGCTGGACCCGCGGGATTTGGGCGCAGGGCGGCGGGAGAGCGGCTCCAGAGGAGCCCGAGCAGCCCCGCGGCCCCGGGGGGCTCCTTAAATAAAGGGTTCTGGGTTGCCATATGGAGCTTTCCCTGGGCTCTGGTCCTTCTGCTGAGCGCATACATAAATTGGAAATGCACAGAATGAAATAATTCAGCGGCTACACTAAATTACAGAAATGGTCAGTGCTTTGGCACATGAAGACGAGCAGCTGGTAGATGGGTTCAGCAAAGCTGCCTCGATTTTGGATTTAAAGATAAAGCTGCTGGATCGCAGGAAACTCAAAGGTGTTTTTTCACCTCCTGTCTGTGCTTGCTGATGTCTCCAGCATGCACAAATGATCCTGAGCTCTGAGCTCTTGTCTGAAAGAAACGGTGTTAAAAAGGAAAGAGAGGACTGTGTGAAATCACAGAAATGCAGCATTATGGAAGTCGGTGGATATTTGCAACAGTATCATTTGCTTAATGTGTTGATCTGATAATAGCTGTATTTCCATTATGGAGAAAAGAAACATAACTCGGTGTTGCTTTATTTATTCCCATGAGGCTGTACAAAAGCTAAACATGCCAATGCGAATGTACACGATCGAAGGGCAGAGTGTGCCATGAGAGATCCCTGCGGGTGCCGTGAAGGGCCGCGACGCCGTGTGAGGGCTCGGTGCGGCTGCTGGGGCACGAGGCTGTCCCAAAGCTGCCGACCAGGGCGCGCTCCCCGGCCCCTCTCGAGGGCAGCTGGGACGTCACAGGGTGAATGTGCACCTGCCTTGCCACGGCTTGTCCTCTCTTACAGCACCTGGTGGCCTGCCAAAAGCAGTTCTGTTCGCGCGCTCCGGAGTCTTCAGCGATGAAGGCGCCTGTTTCCTCCAGGAAGGGATTTCACATACGGTTGTCGCCTGATGACTTAAGTTTTCTTAAGGATGTTTGTGTGTGAATAATATTACTTACTTAGAAATAGCAACCCCCGGGGATGCTTGAGGGCTTGCTGTACTGCTCAGTATTGGGATTTTTATCAGAATTCTTCTGAAACTCAGTAACAAAGATAGGAGAGGTACCAGATGGACTCTGAAACGCTGGGTTTGGGGCTTCACTGGAAGCCCATAGAAGGTTTAAAAAGTCAGTGTGCTTCTGTACTGAGTTTAAACACCTTCCTGTTAGGGACTGCAACACACTTAAATCCAAATTTTCAGAGCTGTAAGTCCTATTGAACAAATATTAAACACAGAAATGTTGTTAAAGATTGGAACCTCAGTCTCTGCTTGTGAACGTAAGGTTATGGTGATGGTGTACACTAACAGTACTACACCGAGAGTCATTTATTTCAAACTTTACACACAGTCTGCCTCTTGTGCCTAGGGAGGACGTGAGGTGCCATCTTCCCTTTATGTAGAGAACGGGAAGCAGAGGCAGGATCGTTTTGGTACCTTTTATCCGTGTCCAGAGGCGGTGAGGGGCCCCTGTGCTCAGCCTCTGAAGGGCTGCGTGCCCAGAGCAGTGCAAAGACCTTCCCAGAGGTGCACGGCACGGGCACAGACACCAGCTCCTGACTCACAACGCTTCATTTCTCCCGTTGTGCTACTTTGTCTGCACCTGCTGTCCAACAGTCACCGAAAGGAAAGGTACCCCTCTGCAGGCATGTCCGTGCCATCCCTGGGTGTGAGGTGGCGTCGCCGAAGCCCGGCGCAGGGGGAGCCCACAGGTGGGTTCGCCGGGCACGCTGCTGTCAGCTGCCTTCGGGCTTTGTGCGCTTGGATTCAGTTTGGTAGGCAGCTTAGCAAATCTCCACGGCAACCCCATGTGTACCATAAAATTGTGAATTATCTTGTTTAGAAGAGGTTCATTAGGAAGATTAATGAGGTATTATTTTTCTCTCATTCAATGTCCCGATAGAGAGGGGGCTCAGCAATTTTCCCAGCTGTGCACAGCAGCCATCGGTCCTCTCCAGGGTCCCCAGCATCACCGCGCTGTGATCAGTTAAACTGCTCAATCTTTGGAAGGGCTATTTGTCTGCTTAATTAGCCCTAAAGGAAGCACTTCTTTTAAAATAAGACAACAGTTTTGTTTTTCCCTCAGAAGGACGTAATGCTATTAGCAGTGGCAACTTGTTTAAATAAAAGAGCTTTTAAGCCGAGTTTTATATGAACCCCTAAGAACCACTTAGGTTTCCCCTCCCCAGCCTGGAGTCACCTGTTTGTCCATTCCCCGTCTCCCGCGAGCTGCCAGCCCCACCAGTATGGGATCAGTGCGGTTACGTGGTTCTGCAGGGGGTCAGGTGCCGTCACGCAGCGAGGAAAGGTAAGAAATGAGTTCGTCGAGGAGAGGGGGTGAGCTATGAAATGCTCCTGCTGTCTAGCTCACATTTTCAGCTGGCACACTTATTTCTTTGGTTTACAGCAGAAGAATTCAGAATTTCTTATTGCGCTGTTCTTCCAGGGTAAAAAGGTCAGAACAAGTCTTGGAGAAAGCCACAGAGTGTCATAGCTGTGGGTGAGTCTGGTGGTATGTGTTTGCCACAGACATGGCTGTAAAAATCAGTTCAGGCTAAAAATAGCCACTGCAGTTTTAGATGGAATTAAAATACGTGGAAGCTGTGGAAGAGCTAGAACTTCACGAGCATCGATAACCAGATCTGTAGCCCTATTCCCAACCCAAGGATGGTAGCTTCAATAGACTTTCTTCTTCAGAGAAGATTAGGTAGTTTAAAAAAAAAAAAAAAAAAAAAAAAAAAAACTTAAAAAAATTTCTACCTGAACACTCTATTTCAGTCAAGAAAATGTCTCCTCAGTTTCAGGAGTGTTCTGCAATTATGATCAGTGTTACATATCTTTTACTTATTATTATTCATATTCCGTGTAACAGTTTAGGTTGTTTTAGGGTTTTTAATGCTGTGCTTAAAAATACCAAGCTTTCAAATGCGTTTACTGGTCTGTGTTTTCTGTCCTAAGCAATTATTTGCAAAGCTAGAACTCTTGTAAATTAATATGCCATTTTCAATCCGCACGAGTTGAGGCTGTTTTTGATGTGTGTAGGAGGGAAAAGGTCTAACTACGCCTTGGTTCAACAAGGATGCTTTTCAAATGTGAATGATCAGCAGGAGAAAAATCAAATTCCTTAATTCCGGTGCTGTATGAACGCTGATTGCTTGTTCTGAGCTGGAAGGGGAAGGGCGGATGGGGAGATGAGTGCAGCGCACGCCGGGGCTGGGTTCCAGCTGGGGCTCACAGCAGTCTGGCTTCCTCGGCGCTGAGCCAGGCTCTGAAAGCAGATCAGGACAGGAAAAGCCAAAGCGACCCTCAAGCAGCGGGTCTTGGGTGTGCCACGAGGAGAAGGTTCATCCGCCCGGTTACGGGCCCCTGCGGCTGAGCTTGGGCACGGCTTTAACCGCTTGGTCTGGCCCTTAGATAGCAGCTGGGATTTGTTTCTTTTCCTTTCTTGGGGTGCGTGTTGTGTGTGCGTTGTCGCCAACTCCCAGCCGGCTGCGGAGCCCGGCTCCTCGCAGCGCCCGTCGCACAGGGACGAGGTCCCCGCCGGGCTCTGCCTGCCCACCCCGGCATTGTGACTGCGCACAGCTCTCCTTATCACTGTGCTATTAATTACTTTAATGATGCATTAATTTAGATTGAAAATATGATACCAGTGAAGTTTAATTAAAAAAATCAATAACTCATTAACACGTTATTGCTACACCTACCTGCGTCACCGTGTTAATCTCCTGTGCTGGAGAAGCAGTTGTGCTTCGGCTCTGCGTCTGTAGATCTTTTTGTTCGAAGCGATTTGTTGGTAAGATAATCATGAAAGAGTTATTCAGTCGCCCCTTTCTTTAGAGACTGTGGGCTGCAAGCCCGATCGATTCTTCCCTTCGGGCTAGGCAAAGCTGACAAGTACCCCAGGTAATATAAATTCTTTCTATTTTTATTCAAAGAGAAAAAAAAGCATTTGGGTGTTGGTGTAGCTGGTTGAAATGACATCTTTTCACTGTGTGTGGGAAGGAATAAGCCACTGAACCTTTAACGGCCGCAGTTTTGGGACACAGCCCAGGATTTTTATGAATAAAGCCGCACACCTTGACCTTAGGGCCGAGGCATCCCCTCTCCTGCTCTTGTGCCTTGATGCCCAACATCAGCTTCAGTTGGGTGTCTGCCTGACTCTGCCCCGGTGCCGAGGGCCCGACTGCTGCCTTCGCACCCCCGAGGCACGTCAGATGGTGCGGCTGAAGGTTTAACATCATTTGGGGTTTATATGTGAGTGTGTTGTGTGTGCGTGTGTGCACACATACGTACACGAGCAGAACGATGTTTTGTATTTCTCAGTGGGACAGATGGGAGAAGGAGCAACAGTAAGCTACTGGAAACCATCCAAATGTTTAAATGAGAAGTGAACTGAGGGAAGAACGTTTCTGAAAGTGTATTTGTTCCTTAGTGGATAAAATACACTCATTACTGGTGTGTTCCCATGCATCAGTTAGTATAGTCTTTAATTAAATTATCGCTGACTGATATAAAGTCATAGTTTCTCAGAGAGCAGCAGAGACTCATGCAGCACAACAGAAACCTCGACAAGCTGTGGGGACCAGTAGGTCCAGTCCCTGACAGACCAGCAGCAGAACTGGACTCAGAAGTTTGTGTCTCCATCACCAACTGAGACTCCCCTGCCTGCTGCTCTAGGCTGCAAAGCGCGTCCTGCCTGCTGGCAGCAGCAGCCCCAACCCGCTCCCCGTTTCCGCTGTCGCCTCGGGAAGCGCAGTGTGTAACTCCGGGTTTCCACCAGTGACTCGGAAAACTCCTGGTTTTCAAACACCACCCGGACCCCCGTTACCTGGGTCTGTTGAGCCGCGTCAGCGCTGCCGCTGCCCATGCGAGGGGGCCGGTAACCTGGAATGGGGTCACGGATAACAGGCAGGGGCTTTTTCC